ATCTATCTATCTATCTATCTATCTATCTATCTATCTATCTATCTATCTCTGTGTGTGTGTGTGTGTGTGAAAGACCACTGATGCATCATCACAAAATCTCCAGAACCGTAAAGCCTACAAACTTGAAATTTGGCCCTTATGTTCCTCTTGGCTTCTAGGTGCTCACTAAGAAAGAATTTTTCAAAATGACCATCAGAGCTTTAATATTTCCTATATTATTATTATTAATTCTGATACTAAGGAGTTCTACTCCCCCTGCCCACCTGAAAATAAATCTCTTCCAAAGGAAAAACATGAGGAGTTTGTTTCAGTTTCACAGCACCAAACAGCTTTAGTACAGAACAGTTGAGCTAAGCCACGCCCAGGCTCCTTGCTGTCTCCTTACTCACACAGCAAATACTGTTTCAGTTTCCAAACAGTCCTCAACTCTCACACACACTGACAGGACACTAACCAGGTGAATACCTATGGATGCTGGTAAGACAAAGGCAGAATTTTTTCACCTTATTTTCCTCCCCCAAAACTAAGCCTGACTACATAGTTTCGTAGCGAAGCACGGGGATCGAGCTACCACATCATATCCCATTTAGCACTGTGCAGGCTTCTGCAGGCTTGGGGGCTTAGTTATCCACTGTAGCTGGAATTGCTCGTAATTTATCCGTCATACATGATTTAGCTGCTACTTTTCATGGCTCTTGAAAAGCCTCTTGAGTTTCCATGTGGGCCCTGATGACGTTACCTGGTTTGGGTAATGAAATGTCTGCAAGAAAACCACCAAGCTCAGAGAGCGCCAAGGACCCCAAATGTGTGTTTTCCTGCAAACCCAGGAATAATAGGTGGAGACTGATCAAGGAGAGATTTAACCTGAAAATAAAGGAGAAACTTTCTGACAGTGAGAACAGTCAACCAATGGAACAGAAGTTGCCTTCAGAAGTGGTGGGAGCTTCTTCACTGGAGGCTTTCAAGAAGAGATTGGGCTGCCATCTGCCAGAAATGGTGTAGGATCTCCTGCTTGGTAAGGGGGTTGGACTAGATGACCTACAAGGTCTCCCTTCCCACTCTGTTAACCTGTTAACTTTATTCCAGGACAGCTTTAAATTGAGCTGGCATCCCTCAGTTGATATTTAAAGAGCAAATTGGCATTGCTTTTGAACAAGAGGGGAAAACAGAAAACTTTCCTCTCGGGGATGTAATTACGGTGTACGTTGAATCGTATTTACGTTTTGCTTGGTTTCAATAGCTGGAGGTGGAAGTGTTTAGATCGTTGCTAACTAGGCCATCATCCATTTCCTTCCAGGCGATGATGACTTAGACCTCTTAACTTCCCTCTTAGAGGAGAGTGAAGCAGAAGAGGATTCTTCAGAGAAGGAAAGAGCAGCTGGCCATCAGGATGAGTACGATTTACTCTTTGAGGCAGAAGACGATGCGTCTTACATTGAGGGGGTGGAAGAGGAAGAAGAGGAGAGGTCCACTGCCAGCCAGGAAAATGTGGCTGAGCTCTTTGGGGATGTGACTGACCTTTTGGAGGAAGAGAAGAAAGAAAAACACGTTCAGAAGACATCCCGCCCTGTAGCGCCTGATCGAGTGAAAGAACCTTCCAAGGAAGATCTGCAAGGTCTCGTGAAAACTTCTTACATTTCCGATGGTTAAAAGTGGTCTAATCTGGAGGTTTTTGTCTCAAAAATCGTTAACGCATTGTGGCCTGTTGGCCACCGGCCCCTCCCAGCAGCCGAATTGGAGGAGGAGGAGGCGTGGAAGTCAGGGTCAGCATTAGGGCAACCTGGGAACTCCGAGGGGGGGGGAGAGGGAATGGAGCTGCAGAGAGAGAGAGAGAGACGGAGGCGGAGCCTGGGCCGCCCCTCAGCCCTTCAGATGGAGAGTCAATAGCTCCCAGGTCTGGAGGTGGCTGATGAGGAAGAGGAGGAACAGCTGGGCCCAGTGCCTGATGCACAGAAGGCAGAGGAGAGGAGAGCAGTGGAAATCTATGGGCCGGTCCTCGGGACGGAAGAGCCGTCTGCTAGCAGTTTGCTGCTAGCAAAGCCCCACCCTAGCTCTGGGGATAAAAGGTAGGGGGCGGAGATGGGGAGGTGTGGCAGAAAACTATTCAGCTGCTGGACAGATGGACAGACTTGTTAGCCTGCATGGAGAAAGAAACTTTTTCCCGGAGCTGCTTGTGCTCCTAATCAAGGAATCTTTGAGTTCACTTCAGACAGTTTTGTCGTGTTTGGGGAGCTGGGTCAGAACGTAACAGTTTAAAGAAATGGAACCAAAACCGCAGACTCAAAACGGTTCAGATGTTCCTGGTACATTAAATATTGGTTTATCGGGAGGGGGGGGGTTGGTTTTTTTTTCCCCTTAATTTTTAATTTATCTAACCTTGGGCTTCCAATGAGATTTGTCTTTCTTCTTCTTTTTGCCTCACAGATGAGTTGAGAAAATTGAAAGAGCAGATGAAAAAATTGCAGGAGCAGTTGGGAAGGACGGGGATAGGGCAGCCCCCTGAGCCCGATCTCTGCAAGAAAACACCTGGTAATAATTGCATTTCCCCCTTTTCGACAGTTCTGCTCTCCAACGTGCAAGCTCGCATTTTATCCTTCGGACATTCACATTGTAACCCCGAGCAATTTGCTAAGACGATGCGAATGCCGGCGTTCAGCAGAATAATTAAAAAGCTAGCAATAGTTTGACATCGTATATAAATGTCAGATTCAATACAGGGGATCACATTTTGGGTGCTTGCGACTGGCCCGTACTTAACCAGCTACTTGGAGCATCCCGTGGTCACACCAGAAACTGATGTTTACTTCTGGTTTCTGGCAAAAAAAATTCCTGCCCCTTGCAGACAATAGATTTGCCTTAACAACCACAATGTTCTTTTTACAACACCCACGTTGGCTTAACAGCTACCGTAAGAAAGATGGTAAAAAATCTGGAGTGGTCCCATGAGCGGCTATCTAAAACAACCCAGAAAACTTTCAGCCATAATTCCAGGCTCAATTACAGTCAGAAGTCGAGGAATACCGATTCCTTTGTGTAAACAATGTTGTGAGGATTAGGATCAGAGTGAGGAAACGAGGAGAAGCTATTTCTACGAATAGCCACACTCGGCGCAGAATAATCAATGTTCTTGCTTCAAATCTAGCATAAAAAGAGTCCTATAAAACATCAGAGAGAGAAAGGTAGCTTAGGTATATCACTCATTGATTTATCTACCATTTAAATTAATTTGTTTGGATTGATGGTACAGTTTCCAAGACTGGATAATTTTTTTAATAAAGTTTATTTATTATAACAACAAACATTAACAAATACAAACATAAAACATCAAATAAAACCATCTTTCCATTGTACAGTGTGTCGATTGGTACATATCTTTTGTGCACAATATCAGCAGTCTTTTCCTTCTGAATGCATTATTAAAATTCATATTATATAAATCAACTAGGCATCTTCTATTATTGTTAACTCTTTATTAGACTTCAATTATAAATTCATGTCATCCTTTTCAAGCAAATCTCAACTTTTACAAACCCTAGTTCACAATATTCATTTCATTATAATCAGTTATAACATATCATTGTCTTCTCTACTATAATATTATATTTATATTATATTTTATTTCCCTATTTTCTTATCTAGCCATTGATAAAATAAATCCCAAATTTTATAATATTCTTTGTCTTCTTGCTCTCTAATTGAGGACTGGATAATTTTTTGTTGTTGTTAGTGGCGAAGTCGTGTCCAACCCATCGTGACCCCATGGACAATGTTCCTCCAGACCTTCCTGTCCTCCCATTGTCTGGAGTCCAGTTAAGGTCACGCCGACAGCTTCAGTGACTCCATCCAGCCACCTCCTTCTCTGCCACCACTTTCTTCTTTTGCCCTCCATCGTTCCCAGCATTAGGGTCTTCTCCAGGGAGTCCTTCTTCCTTCTCATTAGGTGGCCACAAAGTATTTGAGTTTCATCTTCAGGATCTGGCCTTCTAAAGAGCAGTCAGGGTTGATCTCCTCTAGGACTGACCAGTTGGATGGCCTTGCAATCCAAGGGACTTGCAGGAATCTTCTCCAGCCCCAGAGTTCAAAGGCCTCCATTCTTTGGCGCTCAGCCTTCCTTATGGTCCAACTTTCCCAGCCATTGGTTGCAACTGGGAAAACCACAGCATTGACTACGCACTTTTGATATCTCTGCTTTTTAGTGTGCTGTCTAGATTTGCTATAGCTTTCCTCCCCAGGAGCAAACGACTTTTGATTTCTTGCCTGTAGTCCCCATCTGCAGTGACCTTGGAGCCCAGGAAAATAAAATCTGTCACTTCCCCCATTTCTTCCCCATCTATTTGCCAGGAATTGAGAGGGCCGGATGCCATGATCTGAGTTTTCTTAATGTTGGGTTTCAAGCCAACTTTTGGTTTGAAACTCAACAAAGCTGGCTTGAAACTGGATAATTACACTTAAAACTTTTCATTTTCTAAACCTCCTGTTTCTTTGCCAGAGACGTGATCTTGTGTGGTATTAGAGCAATACAAAGGCATAATGTTGACATTAAAATCTGAAACATCCTTGAGCTTAAAGTATCAAATATACACTAAGCGTAAATATTTATCCAACCCTTTTTTTTCTATACAGTTGATACTGTGGTACATAACTGCTTTGAAACAAATTGTCAAATTTGGTACTAGGTGCATTTTAACTGATGCTTTGTACGATCAAAATTTAGATGCTTGGCAACCGGTTCATATTTTGTGACTTTCTAGCAAGTAAAGTCAAACCAGATTCACTTAATCTGGAAGTTGTGTGAGCTTCATCATTGGAGGCTTTCAAGAAGAGACTGGACTGCCATCTGTCAGAAATGGTGTAGGGCAGTGGCCCCCAACCTTTTTTGAACCAGGGACCGGTTTCACGATTATTTATTCTTCCACGGACCGGTACCTGAGTAACGTGAGACTCCACCGCCATCGGGACGGCTCTTCGTTCGAAGCCTCCCCCCCCTTCGACGAAACTAAGGCGCGAGCACCCAAATGCCGCTTTCCAACTGAAAACCTGGAAGCACTTTCCAACCGAAAACCCGGAAGCGCCGTCGAAACAAGATGGCGGCGCCCAAGCTTTGCGGCCCGGTAAAAAATGATCCACGGACCGGTACCGGTCCAGGGACCGGTGGTTGGGGACCCCTGGTGTAGGGTCTCCCGCTTGGGTGGAAGGAGTTGGACTAGATGACCTACAAGGTCCCTTCCAACTCTGTGAATCTGTTAATCACTGGGTTACAGACTTATCAACTGCAGTGATTCCCTTAACAACTGTGACCAAAAAAGGCCATAAAACTCCCTTAATGAATGTCACACTTAACGACAGAAACGCTGGGGTCAATTGTGGTTGTAAGTCGAGGAGGAGCAGTCCTCATCATTTGGTACTCAACACACCAGCTAGAACTTGCCTTGTGACTCACTGTATTGTTCCTTGTTTAGTACTCACCGTCTTTGCTACTCATCGTGCCTCCCGGAATCAATTAACGATGAGTACCGAGGTAGCACTGTAAATGCCTTGAGGCTGCTTGTAGTATCTTCTAGCTGAAAGCATAACTCTTTTAATAAATTCTTTGATTTCTTTGATCAGGTCAATCAAACGGTGCTGTCATTAAGGAAAGGACTCCGTCCAAGGTACAGAAATCTCCATCTTTCTCAGCCCAGCAGATCAATCCTGCTTTACCGCTGCCAAAAAGCCCGTTCCAGAAATCGAAATCTATGATTGCAGGTATATTAGCCATTCCTTCTGCTGGATTTCTGGCAGTGTTGTAAAAGAATGGTTGCAGGAATTGGGTATGTCTAGTTTAATCAAAAGAAGGACTGGGGGGCGGGGGACAGGATAGCCATCTTCCAATATTTGAGGGGCTGCCCCAAAGAAGAAGGGGGTCAAGCTATTCTCCAACGCACCTGAAGGTAGAGCAAGAAGCCATGGATGGAAACTAACCCAGGAGAGAAGCAACCTGGAATTAAGGGAGGAAAATTAACCAGTGGAACAACTTGCCTTTAGGTGTTGTTGTTTCTCCATCACTGGAGGTTTTTAAGAAGAGATTGGACAACCATTTGTCTGAAATGATATCTAGGGTTTCCTGCTTGAGCAGGGGTTGGACTAGAAGACCTCCAAGGTCCCTTCCAACTCTTATTCTGCTATAAACTCTGCTGCTTTCATATCTTTGAAAGGTTGAAGATGTGGGTTTTTTAAAGGCAGTGCCTTCACAGCTTGGGAGTTGATATAGTACAATGCAAATAGGTTTATGCAGATTACATTCTGCATCTGGGAATGTTAAGATGTCGTCATAAATGAAGTATTAGAGAAGGACACCATTTTTTTCAGCATGCCCTCTGTTGCTGAAAAGAGCAAAATGAGAATGAGAACCAGAATGAACTTATTCGTGCAGTCTTATTTATTTATCTGGGTTTGTGGGCTGTCCACACCTTTTGTTATTTTATTTTATTTTTAATTATTTTCTGAAACAAAAATACACCTGCAGGCAGAATCGATGGTGGCTGATTTGCAATTTTATTGCCCTGGGGAAAGTTAGCCACTTATTGTTAAACTTTTTAAGCCTTTTCCTCTGTGTTGGTTTTTCTGTTTTCTCCTGGGATAATGGTGTACTCTTTCTCTTCTCCTTAGTGAATAAGAACCACACTTCAAAAGCTACACCTAGTCTGCTCTCTCAGCCACTTACATCTGTGCCTGGAAACAGACCCACTGCGGATTCCAGTAAGAAAATTCCAGTAACAAAAAATTCCGAGGTCAAAAATCAAAATGTTTCCATGGAAATCTACTCTGGATTGAAATTAAGGTGAGTGTGATGACCCAAAAGGGGCGTGGCACAAAGGCAACACAGTCAGATAAGCAAGAAGAGTCCCTTTAGTACCTCCACCTTTTCCCCCAATGTCCAGGTTAGCTTTGGGTGGAGAAAAAACTCTCCCAGGAACAGCCTTTAAGTGGAGGAAATTCAGTCTGAAAACAAAGTATATACAAACTATAACTAAAAATCCAAACAAACCTCGCTGCAGTAATTAACTTGACAGGGCAGGGGAAGGAATTGCAGACTTGAAAGGCCAACAAAACACACACAGTTGGGAAGACACCAGGAACCCAGATAAGCCACGACAATAACAGATAATTCATGGTTTACTCCCAACAAGTTGCTGCGCGCAGCTTCCCTTCTTAAACACTGTGTTCCCAGCTGCAGCTAATGAAGGGAATCAGGGCCCATTCCTCCCCCCTAAGCCACGTAACCCACGTTGTCCCTTCTCTGTTCCTCCCTGCGTGCCCTAGGATGAAGAGGGAGTGGGCCTGGGTCGTCTTCCAAATTCCCTCTCCCTTGTTCTACCTCTCCCCTGCACTGCCCAGGCGGACTTTGCCCTTCCCTGGTTTCTTCCACAGCCAACGGAGGCACACTCCCACTCCCTGTCAGCTGCTCGGCCTCCCCCTCCGAATCAGATTCCAACAGGGGCATGACAGTGAGCAAACTATCTGGAATAACTTTATTATTATTATTTTTTAAATGCCATGTGGATCACAAGGGTAATTATATAAATTTATTGCGAAGAACAATTCTGTCGTTGACACCTAGGGCATAATTTTATTGTGGCTGTATTACAGGTAGTCTTGACTTACGACCACAATTGAGCCCAAAATTTTATGTTGCCAAGCGAGACAGTTGTGAGGTATATTCCGCTCCGCTTTACGATTTTTCTTGCCACCGTTGTTAAGTGAATCACTGCTGCTGTTAAGTTAGTAACCCGGGTGTTAAGTGAATCCGGCTTCCCCATTGACGTTGCTCATCAGAAGGTCACAAAAGGGGATCACATGACCCCGGGACACTGCAACGGTCATAAGTATGAGTCGGTTGCCAAATACCTGAATTTTGATTATTTTATTATTACGGGAATGCTGCAATCATTGTTAAGTATGAAAAACTATCATAACTCAGTGATTTCAGTGCCATTGTAACTTGGAACAGTCATTAAACAAGTGATTGTAAGTCAAGGACTAACTAATCATGAGAAACATCTGAAAACCTCGCTAATCCCTTTCAAGCCATCATGTTTTTAATCTTCAGGATTTTTCCGCGCGTTTTAAAAAAAGAAGCAGGAGTTCTTAAGAATTTGCCCAATTTGTTAGGCAAGACTTTTTATTAGGCTGAGTATTTTGGATAAAATACTTTTTTATTTTTATAAAATAAAAAAGAGAATGTGGTGGCTAAGACACTGAGCATGTCGATCAGAAAGGTCAGCAGTTCGGGGGGTCGAATCCCTAGCAATGGAGTGAGCTTTTTAAACATTGTGTTCCCAGCTGCAGCTAATGAAGGGAATCAGGGCCCTTTCCTCCCCCGTAAGCCTCTGCCAACCTAGCAGTTCAAAAGCATGTAAAAAAATGCAAGTAGAAAAATAGGGACCCCTTTAGTGGGAAGGGAACAGTGTTCTGTGTACCTTCAAAGGTGTTTAGTCCTGCTGGCAACATGACCACGGAGACGTCTTCGGACAGTGCTGACTCTTCTTTGGCTTTGTCACGGAGATGAGCACCAGCGCCCCCTAGAGCCGGAAATGACTAGCACGGATGTGCAAGGGAACCTTTACCTTTATTTTGGATAAATGTTGGAAACTCTTTCCTTTTCTTGTCGCTCAGCCTCCTGGTTGCGTCGAGCGATGGATGGTTGAAGCGTCGCTCCTCTAATGGGAATTTCTGATTTCTTTGCAGAAAACCTCGGGTCTCTTCGGCCGAGATGGAAAGGAAAATGACTGGGCGGAAGCTGATCAGGCTGTCTCAAGTACAAGACAAACTCCGTTCGGCAAATCTTGAAGAAATGGATTGGGTCACCTTTGGCGTCATAATAAAGAAAATGACTCCTCAAAGCAGCAACAATGTAAGTGTTTGAACGTTTGCTTGGGTCTCTTCGGCCATCGGTTGACCGTTTTCATCCCTGGCTGGCCAGAGATCAAAGTCAGACGTTCCTATGAATTTCTCACTTGTCATTTTTTGTTGTGGCCTGTCAGCCACTGGCCCCTCCATCAGCTGAATCAGAGGAGGAGGAGGAAATGTGGGAGTCAGGGGAACATGGGAGCTCCGAGGGGGAAGAGGGAACGGAGCTGTCAGAGAGACAGAGGCGGAGCCTGAGCCGCCCCTCAGTCCTCCGATGGAGAGTCAACAGCCCTCAGGTCTGGTTGTGGCTGATGAAGAAGAGGAGGAACAGCCGTGTCCAATGCCTGATGCACAGATGCACAGAAAGGCAGAGGAGAGCAGTGGAAACCTATGGGCCGGTCCTTGGGACGGAAGAGCCACTGCTGCTAGTGAAGCCCCACTCGAGCTCTGGGGATAAAAGGCAGGGGGGCAGAGATGAATAGATGTGGCAGACAACGATTCCTCTCCCTGCCGGACAGACTTGTGAGCCTGAGGTGAGAGAGAAACTTTTTGCTGGGGCTGCTGGCGCTCCTAATAAAGGAATCTTTTTGAGTTCACGCTAGAAGTTTGTTGTGTTTGGGGAGCTGGGTCAGAACATATTTTTCTACCGTGTTTCTTAGAAAATAAGACCAGGTCTTATTTTTCTTTTGACCCCACCGAAAAAACGACTAGGCCGTCTTTTCGAGGGATGTCTTAATTCCCCCACGCCCATGCCTCACCTAGCCACTGGGCTACTTCTTTCACGCCCCAAAAGCATGAATGATGCAACTCGCGTACCCTTGCCTACCTGTAATGGTTATTCCAGCAACCGGTAGTCGTCCAGCCGAAAAAGCCTGCCGTCATCCACTCTAGCAAGCCTGGCCACCGGGCTGCTGCTTTCGCAGTCGAAGAGCGTGTGGGCGAGCGATGCGCCCCACGCTGCCTGAAGCACGTAATGGGTTTTTTTTGGAGTGTTTAATGCTTGTCCCAACCCTCGTGGCCCAGTGCAGCAAGGAAGACCTTTGGCAAAAAACAGTCCCTACTGCAGATGGTTATAGTCCCTTTTCCGACATCCTGACAGGCAAAGTCAATGGGGAAATCCAGACTGAGTGTCAACAACCCTTTTGTAACTTAATCCCAGCCACCACCCAGGTTGCTTAAGGGACTGAGGGACTAATTGTTCTGAAGTCTTATGATACACAACCCTTTTGTAACTTACCAACCGCAGGCCAAATCCCAGCCACCACCCCAAGGAAAGCACAATGCTCATGTATGGTAAGGTAAAGGTGAAGGTTCCCCTCGCACATACGCGCTAGTTGTTTCCGGCTCAACAATCAATTCATTAAAAATCCACAATTTATTCAGATACCGTTATGTCATCTTCTTCTGGAACAAGTGGTGGGATTCAAATTTTTGTACTACCGGTTCTGTGGGCATGGCTTGGTGGGTGTGGCAGGGGAAGGATACTGCAAAATCCACCTTTCCTCCCCACCCCACTAACCTGCTTTCCAGCTCTATTCTCCTGTGCAGAGCAACCAAAAGTGACCCAGCCGATCTGCTGGGACTCAGTGGGAGGCAGAGAATAGATGGGGTTGGCGGGGCCAGTCAGAGGTGGGATTGGCCGGTTCTCCAAACTACTCAAAATTTCCTCTACCGGTTCTCCAGTCAGAACCAACTGAATACCCACCTCTGTTGCTGGAACATCGTCATAACTCTCCAAACCCTGAATTCCAGCTGGAATCTCTTGTGACTATAACCATCTGCGGTAGGGACTGTTTTTCCCAAAGGTCTTCCTTGCTGCGCTGGGCCACGAGAGTCGGGACAAGCACAAACACTCAAAAAAATGTTATGTGCTTCAGGCGGCAGGCACATCGCTTGACCACACGTTCTTCATCCCCAAAAGAAGCGGCCCAGTGGCCAGGCTTGCCGGAGTGGACAACGGCAGGATTTTCTGCTGGACGTCTACGGTATCTGGAGTGACCGTTATAGGTAGGCAAGGGTGTGCGAGTTGCGTCGCTCACACTACTGAGCTGTGAAAGAAGCGGCCCGTGGCCAGGCAAGGTGCATGGGATAAGTGAGTTGCTCCTTTCGCCCGTGAAAGAAGCAGCCCGGTGGGGCAAGTTCCCCGCCCCGCTCTTTCCTCCCCCTCTCACCTTCTCACCTCATGTTCTCCACACTGCAAGCGATGTGAGAAAATGGCAGGGAACGGGCACGTATGTGCTTAATTAGGGCCAAATTTGGGGGGCGGGGCTTAATTTTAACGCATGGGCACAAAACAGTGCTGGGCCTTCTTTTTGGGGTGGGTGATGAGAAAGACAGTAGGAGTGTAACGGAGGTGTTGTAAAAGGCGTTGTAAACAGGAGCATTCTTTGAAAAGACATTTGGGCAGAGGAAATGTTGATTGGTTGGAGAACTGGCCAATCCCGCCTCTGACTGGCCCCGCCCCCATCTATTCTCTGTCTCCCATTGAGTCCCAGCGGTAGTAAAAAAAATTGAATTGGTGGCGCAGTGGTTAGAATGAAGGATTGCAGGCTAACTGTGCCCACAGCCAGGAAGTTCGATCCTGACCGGCTCAAGGTTGACTCAGCCTTCCTCCTTCCTTCCTCCCTCTCTCCCCTGGTCTTCCTTCCTTTTCCTTTCCCCCTTTCCTCTGAGCTGCGATGACATAGTGGTGAGAATGCAGTATTGAGGCTAAACTCTGCCCGCTGCCAGCAGCTCGATCCTGACCGTCTCAAGGTTGACTCAGCCTTCCGTCCTTCTGAGGTAGGTAAAATGAGGACCCAGATTGTCCGGGGCAAGAGGCTGACTCTGTAAACCGCTTAGAGAGGGCTGCAACGCACCATGAAGCAGGATATAAGTGCTATTCCTTCCTTCCTTCTCTTCCTCTCTCTCTCTCCCCTCATCTTCCTTCCTTTCCCTTTTCCTCTTTTCCCTCCCTCTGAGCTGTGAGGGGCAACCCACTCATCCCACATAACTTGCCTGGCCATGGGCCGCTTCTTCCGCGGCCCAAAAGCGTGAGCGATGCAATTTGCGCACCCTTGCCTACCTGTAACGGTCACTCCAGATACCGGTAGCCGTCCAGCAGAAAATCCTGCCGTCGTCCACTCCGGCAAGCCTGGCCACTGGGTTGCTGCTTTCTCAGATGAAGAGCGTGTGGGTGAGCGATGCGCCCCACGCTGCCTGAAGCACGTAATGGTTTTTTTGGAGTGTTTAATGCTTGTCCCAACCGATCATTGCAAATTAACATAGGAAGGCGCTTGTTCTCCGCATCTCTCCCAGGGTAAAACCTTCAGCATCTGGCACCTGAATGACCTACGTGACTTCAACAGGTCCGTCTCCCTCTTCCTGTTTGGGGACGTTCACAAAGAGCACTGGAAGACCGACCAAGGCATGGTCGTAGGCCTCCTCAACGCTAACCAGATGAAGCCCAAGGAAGGATCAGAGGAGGTATGGATGAAGGTTGGGGCGAAGGCCTCTAGATCTTTCCCTCAACAAACACCCAGGGGTGGAATTCTGCTGGTTCGGCTGAACCTGTAGCTCCGAAGATCAGTGGGGAGCGAACTGGTTGGCTCCAACGATCATGTGGGCCCCGTTCTGACCAAGGCTTCCTGAGACCGTAATTAAGCACACGCTTAGTCCAAACAACTCTTGTTTTATTTCAGTGCTGGGAATTATTTTCATTCCCAGCCAGTAATGAGTCCCAAACAGTCCCTCGAGATAAGCACCCACCTTTCCTTTGAATTGCTGCCAACAACTAAAGTGCCAAAATAACTATAAAAAACCAACCAAAGTACAAAGTCCACACAGAGCTTCCAGGTTTAATCCGAACAGAGCGAACGACTTTGCTTCCTGCAAAGGTTTCTCTACCTTTGCCTGTCCTTTATACCTTATGGGAGGGGCAATCACCTCCCAGCCTTACTCCTGAGTCGCCCCTTTTGTCTTAGCTGCTCTTGCCTTCTGGCAGTTCTGCGCATACACACACTGGGAATAGGCTCCCCTGGTTCCTCTGCCTCACTGCTGCCAGACTCCGAGCCTCCAGAGGCAGCACCCCACTCTCAGATGGTCCTGGCCCCAGCCCTGCATTGGATGGAGGACCCTCGTTCGAGTCCTCCCCATACTCCAGGACTGGTCCCCATTCATCTCCACTGTCGGATTCTGCTGCTGTCTGCACAGGCTGCCGGCGAACCACAACAGGCCCACCATTCCCGCATCTCTGTACTGTACTGACCTTTATCGTCTCAGCTGATCAGTGCAGAAGAGTGGATTGCCGCTCCTCACCTGTGTTACTTCCCTGAAGTAACACAGGTAAGGATTTTTGCATGCGATCACTGAACCTTATACCGGCAGGATCCCACACCTGCAAATACACCGCTCAAAAAAATAAAGGGAACACAAAAATAAGACATCCTAGATCTGAATGAATGAAATATTCTTATGAAATACTTTGTTCATTACATAGTTGAACGTGCTGACAACAAAATCACACAAAAATTATCAATGGAAATCAAATTTAGCAACCCATGGAGGTCTGGATTTGGAGTTACACTCAAAATTAAAGTGGAAAAAAAGACTACAGGCTGATCCAACTTTGATGTAATGTCCTTAAAACAAGTCAAAATGAGGCTCAGTAGTGTGTGTGGCCTCCACGTGCCTGTATGACCTCCCTACAATGCCTGGGCATGCTCCTGATGAGGTGGTGGATGGTTTCCTGAGGGATCTCCTCCCACACCTGGACTAAAGCATCCCCCAACTCCTGGACAGACTGTGGTGCAACGTGGCGTTGGTGGATGGAGCGAGACATGATGTCCCAGATGTGCTCAATTGGATTCAGGTCTGGAGAATGGGCGGGCCAGTCCATAGCATCAATGCCTTCGTCTTGCAGGAACTGCTGACACACTCCAGCCACATGAGGTCTAGCATTGTCATGCATTAGGAGGAACCCAGGGCCAACCGCACCAGCATATGGTCTCACAAGGGGTCTGAGGATCTCATCTCGATACCTAATGGCAGTCAGGCTACCTCTGGAGAGCACATGGAGGGCTGTGCGCCCCCCTAAAGAAATGCCACCCCACACCATTACTGACCTACTGCCAAACCGGTCATGCTGGAGGATGTTGCAGGCAGAAGAACGTTTTCCACGGCGTCTCCAGACCCTGTCACGTCTGTCACATGTGCTCAGTGTGAACCTGCTTTCATCTGTGAAGAGCACAGGGCGCCAGTGGCGAATTTGCCAATCTTGGTGTTCTCTGGCAAATGCCAAACGTCCTGCACGGTGTTGGGCTGTAAGCACAACCCCCTCCTGTGGATGTCGGGCCCTCATACCCTCATGGAGTCTGTTTCTGACCCTTTGAGCAGCCACATGCACATTTGTGGCCCACTGGGGGTCATTTTGCAGGGCTCTGGCTGTGCTCCTCCTGTCCCTCCTTGCACAAAGGCAGAGGTAGCGATCCTGATGCTGGGTTGTTGCCCTCCTACGGCCTCCTCCACATCTCCTGATGTACTGGTAGCGCCTCCATGCTCTGGACACTACACTGACAGACACAGCAAACCTTCTTGCCACAGCTCGCATTGATGTGCCATCCTGGATGAGCTGCACTACCTGAGCCACTTGTGTGGGTTGTAGATTCCATCTCATGCTACCACTAGAGTGAAAGCACCGCCAGCATTCAACAGTGACCAAACCATCAGCCAGAAAGCATAGGAACTGAGAAGTGGTCTGTGGTCACCACCTGCAGAACCACTCCTTTATTGGGGATGTCTTGCTAACTGCCTCTGCTTTCCACCTGTTGTCTATTCCATTTGCACAACAGCATGTGAAATTGATTGTCAATCAGTATTGCTACCTAAGTGGACAGTTTGATTTCACAGAAGTGTGATTGACTTGGAGTTACATTGTGTTGTTTAAGCGTTCCCTTTATTTTTTTGAGCAGTGTACCTCAGAACCATTTTGTGTAATGTAAGGTTTGGGTGGGTGTTGTTGGTGGGAGAAGAAAAGGAGAGATCTGAGCTTCTGGATTTCTGAGTGCTTCTCGACTCAGGAACCAGTCCTGAAGTGAAGTAGGAGAACTCTTCTCTCTTGTTGGCTTCATCCTTGAAGGTCCCTGGGCTGAAGGCCAGAAGAACGTTCTCTGAACTGTCTTGAGGAGCAATTGGGGTGTCTCCTAGGAGAGGACCTCCACTCACAAATTCTTCTGTGCCCAGAACAGATAAGTTTGGGTGATCCAAACACAATTTGAATGGTTTGAGTTGTCTGCAGAACAAAAACAAAGTTGAATGAAGGGGAATCTACTTGTCCCAGGATAATGTTGCAGGATCCAATCTGGGTCGGTCACCGGGAACAGAAGTTTTGTCTTCCGAGCTTTTGGACTTCTGGAGCCCATCTTCAAGGAACATCTCCCTAGCGGAGTGTGTGCCGTTCTGTGTGTACTATTTATATGATGCTTTTTAGTTGTCGATTGAGGTGTTGATGGCTGACTATTAAGTTGTTGGTTGTTGTTTCTTTGTGTTGCCAAGCTCTCACCTTCTAAGTAATTGATAACCTGGTAGTAAATCAGTAGTAAATTCCTCTTGACTGATGAGGGGCTTATTTCCCAGGCTTCAATCATTTCCCTGGCTGTTTTTGTCCCTGCCCATCCAACAATCTTAAGTTAGCTGCAAAATTGAATGTGTGTCCTTGTTCATTGCGCTGTGCTAGAGAGAAGTTCCCTGAAAATGGGCTCCAGCACGAATCCAAAAGTTCAGAAGATTGAAACATGGTTGTTCTTGCACCCGAGATTGTGGAAGAAGTGAAGAGTAGGAGAAACATCTCTTTAAACAGCAGCAGTTTAAATACTGCTGAAAATTGATCCAGAATCATTTTAGTGGAATATAATCTTCCTCGTTGGGCAGCCACGAGGCCTTTGGTGTAGGAAAATCAAAGCTTCTTTTTTCCCAAGAAACTAAGCCACAATATTTGCGTTCCTCCTACCATGAAAATGCAATGAAAACGGCTAAGAAAATATTGGCTTGATAAAAGGGCCCTTTTCACCTGTAATAATGTTGGATATAAATTTGTTCAGCTTCCTGAAAGCCGAAAGCTGCCTCCTTCTTTCTTCTCAGGTGTGTCTATCCGTCGATCATCCTCAAAAGATCCTGATTTTGGGGGAAGCCATGGACTTGGGAACTTGCAAATCCAGGAAGAAAAATGGAGAGCCTTGTACTCAGATGGTTAATCAGGTAAAAAGGGTGTTTGGGCTCCAGTTTTCGTACAGGTAGATATTACTCTGTTTCCCTGAAAATACGACCTTACCACAGCGCTGTACAGTAGAAGCCATTTAAAGGCACAACAGGATGTATCTTAACAGAACATACACCCTGAGGGGGTGTCTTAGCCCCCACAGAATTTGTTTCCAGAGAGTAAGTAATTTGTATACCAAGTTTGGTTGAAATTGCTCGAGGCGTTCCAGAGTTATGCTGGAACACACAAACACACACACACACATCCTTTTTTATAGATTTATATATCATTAATTTATATTATATTACTTTTTTAAAAAAAAATTATGTTCTTTGATCAGCATCTTCAGTTTCCCGGACTCGTTTGTGTCTCCCGTTGCAGAGCGAGTGTGAATATTGTCACTATCACATACAGTCCGAGTACCGAAAACGGAGCTCGAAGCGAGCAGATCTACAGTCCACATTCTCCACCACCCGAGCACCAAAACGGACAGCAAAGCGGAACCTTGGCTTGAAAGAGAAGCTCTGCCAAGACGGTTTTTACTACGGGGGGGTTTCCTCGTCGGCTTACGCTGCCTCTGTGTAAGGAAATGCTTCTCTGTGCTTTGTGGGGCCTGGAATTTGCTTATCCAGGTCTTGGTTTAATTAGATTCAATTAGATCAGAGGTCTTTAAGACTTGTGGACTTCAGCTCCCAGAACCCCTCAGCCAGCCTAGCCTACTCTCTTGTAATCCCTTCCTCTGCAATCTGTCTCCACTTTAGGAGATTAAGAGAGAGAAAAAGCAGGCATGGCTGGCTGGGGAATTCTGGGAGTTGAAGTCCACAAGTCTTAAAGTTGCCAAGTTTGGAGACCTCTGAATTAGATTAACAGAGTTGGAAGGGACCTTGGAGGTCTTCTCATCCAACCCCCTGCTCAGGTAGGAGGCTATATACCATTTCAGGTTTGTGCAGTCTCTTCTTAAAGTCCTAATGTTGGAGGGAAGTCATTCAGTTAATTAACATTGTCATTAATCAGGAAATTTCTCCTTAATTCGAGGTTGCTTCTCTCCTTGGATGAGTTTCCATCCGTTGCTTCTCGTCCTGCCTTTTGGTGCTTTGGAAAATAAGTGGACTCTTTCTTCTTTGGAGCAGCCCCTCAGATATTGACACCCCGCCATCATGTCACCCCTGGTCCTTCTTTTCACCACACTAGACATGAAAAGAAGGAGAAGGGGTGGCATGAGAGCAGGATTCCAACATCTAAGGCCGTGATGGCGAACCAATGGCATGCGTGCCACGGGTGGCACGCAGAGCCATTTGTGTGGGCACATGAGCCCCAGCTAAACTTACCTGCACTGCACATGCGCGTGCCTCCCAGTTGATTTTCAGCCTGTTTGAGGGGAGCCTCGGGAGGCTGAAAAATGGGCCCGTTACAGCACTTCCGGTATTTCCAGAAGGCCCATTTTTCAGCCTCCGGAGGGCCTCTGGAGCCTGGGGGAAGCCGTTTTCAGCCTCCCAGAGGCCTGAGGGAAGCCTCGGGAGGCCGAAAAACAGGCCCGTTACGGCACTTCCGGTATTTCCGGAAGGCCCGTTTTTCAGCCTCTGGAGCCCGGGGGAAGCCGTTTTCAGCCTCCCAGAGGCCTGAGGGAAGCCTTGGGAGGCCGAAAAACAGGCCCGTTACGGCACTTCCGGTATTTCTGGAAGGCCCGTTTTTCAGCCTCTGGAGCCTGGGGGAAGCCGTTTTCAGCCTCCCAGAGGCCTGAGGGAAGCCTCGGGAGGCCGAAAAACAGGCCCATTACGGCACTTCCGGTATTTCCGGAAGGCCCGTTTTTCAGCCTCTCAAGGCTGCAGAGGCTTCCTTCGAGCCTCCGGGAGGGCAAAAACGGCCTCAAATGGGCCAAAAATCAGCTGGGAGGCGTGCACATGTGCAGTGCAGGTAAGGGGATGGGGCGCAGGTCTTGTGCACGCATGCGCAGGAGGGGGCGCATTGCATTGTGAGTGCCGGCACACTACAAAGAGGTTCGCCATCCCTAATCTAAGGGGTTGCCATCAAAAAAAAAAAATTAGATCAGCTGGATGGAAACTAATCAAGGAGAGAACCAACCTAGAACTTTTCCCTCCATAAAATCTGAATTCATCGCAATGTTTTCAACAGGCAAGATTTCGGCTGGCTTTGATTTCCAGACCTTGAGTTGTGTCCTTGTGTTTTCTCCCTTCAGGGCTGCAGCTGCCGTTCCCAAAAGGAAAGTCCAAACGACGTTGACAAACCTGGTTGTGAGAGGAGTGGATGCGATCCTGCAGGAAACCAAAGAAAAACTGGGTAACTTCTCCTCTGTTTTCTGAAGCAGCCTGTGTTTCTTTCAGCCTGCATCTTTCCCAAAGAGGTAGTTCTCAATTTACGACCACCATTGAGCCCAAAATCTCCGTTGCTCAGCAAGATAGTTGTTGCTGTGGTTCGCCGGCAACTGGTGCAGATGGCTGAGGTCTCGGAGAGCGAGGACTCCGATAAGAGGCCTGCATGTGATGCAGGGATGGGGCCAGGACCATCAGGGAGTGGAATGCTGCCTTTGGAGATTGTGGAGGCTGACAGCAGTGAGGAAGAGGCCCCCGAGGAGCCTGTGCTTAGCGTGCGTGCACGCAGGGCTGCTTGAAGGAAAGAGCAGCTGCAGCAGCATGGGCGACTCGGGAGTAAGGCTGCAAGGTAATGGCCCCTCCCTTAAGGGATAAAAGCCAGCTGAGAAACCGGAGTTCTTTGCAGGAAGCAAAGAAGTTTTTCCACTCAAGCCTTGTGGACATTCAGACTCGCTTAGTTTGTTTTTGTCTTTGTGTTTGAACTATTTCTGGGCAACTTTATCTAGCGTTCTTGGCAGCCTTGCACCACCTTGGCAAGGCTCGTCCTTATCAGAGACAATGAGTTTGGAACAGCCTTTTAACCGGGAAGGAACGGAATTAGTAAAGAATCATTAAAAGGTTTTGCTGTTACCTCCGTTTTGTGTTTGTTTCCTTGGAACAAGGTTTGGGGTCAGAACAGCTGTTAAGGGAGCTTTGCTCCTTTTTACGACCTTCCTTGCCACCGTTGTTAAGTGAATCACTGCCATTCTTAAGTGAATGTGGCGTCCCCCATAGATTTTGGTCACAAAAGGAGATCCCATGACCCAGGGACACAGCGACCGTCGTAAATGTGAGTCCATTGCCAAGCATCCAAATGTAAAATTACATGACGGTGGGGACAATGCCACGGTCGTAAGTGTGAAATAATGGGCATAAGTCGCTTTTTTTCAGTGGCGTTGTTACTTTGAACGGCCACTAAATGAAACAAGTCGTAAGTCGAGAACTGCCTGAAATGGAGGTTGAAGAGCTCCCTCCCATCTCACCCGTGGTTCCCTTCCAGGTCTGGCAAAGCCCCCCTGCTCAGAAGAATTCCAGGAGCTCTTGGCGGTGCCCTCGGCGGGAGCCCGGAACCTCAACCGACACTTCACCCGAAGGGGGGCGCTAGGTACGTTGGAAAGGAACCCGGGATAAATGCTGGCTTGCAGGTGGAGAACAGCTGTCGCGTCTCCACGTTGATGGAGGTTCTCGGGCATCCAGGTCATGGTTGTCCCAAAGGGGCTTTTCCAAAAGGCCTCTTGACTCCCTTGGTTTTCTTTGAAGACACTTCACTTCTCGTCCAAGAAATTGCTAAAGAATTCTTCTTCCTCCTCCTCTTCTTCTTCCTCTTCTTCTACCTCCTCTTCTTGCTCTTCTTGTTTCTCTTCTTCCTCTTCTTCCTCTTGTTTCCTCTTCTTCTCCTCCTCTTGTTCTTCTCTTCCTCTTCCTCCTTTTCTTGTTCTTCCTCCTCTTCCTCTTCTTCCTCTTC